CTTACATTTTGCTCACAGTGACTATATATAACATATAGAAAAGCTGGCCAGGTTTATGGACTTAGGCTGACCTGAGGCTTCTGCAAAAATGAGTCCTAGTTTCGGCGATGTTCGTTATATGATAAACGAAAGCTAGGCCTGTCTTCGCCCGAAACGTTAGAGGATGTTTCATGGACTGTACCAATTTGAACGTGATATTACTGCCAAATGGCTGCAGTACAACGTGGGTCAGTCAATGTCCTCTAGTAAAATTGATCCATGAATCACTTTATCATGTACTTTCATACGAAATGAGGGTCTTCACATCAATCTTAAATTAGCTAGCAAATCATCCTTCTATGGTGAATCTTTTTTAGGCTTATGGTTGCACTTTCACCGTATGTTTTCAATGATCATTAGTTAGTTGACGCGTTAGAGCCCAAAACAGACTCCAAGTTTGTCAAGTCCTCTCTTACATAGTTGCTCATCCTGATCTATATGTATCTTCCTAATTATATTTTATAGCCAGATAAAGTTCTTGTTTAACTTCTTGATACTGTTCTCCCTATTCAGGATGCTATTTGTTTTGTTAATTCATATTCACCCCTTAATCTTCCGCACACCCATTTTGTCACGATATTTTGCACAACTTCGGATTTTCGACCATTTTGATCGACAAGTCTCCTCTTTATAGACACTAAAAATGAATGCACAATCCTATATCAACCTGATCTTTAAAAAGCGTTTTAGATTCTCTCTAACATCATATTTATTAACTAATTTGCCTATCATTTCCCAAAGCTGGTAAAATCTATAAACCGGATGAAGAGTCACCCAATCTGATAAATTTTCCTAAATAGTTATTTTATTTGATTTAACCTCTCATTGGTACGAAATTATTCACAATTTATCCTACCTGATAGTTTTTCTAAGATCTTCAAACTTTGTATCCGAATGCCTAGCAAACTCTTGATTTGCATTGATTCTATATCCTTTACTCTCAAATCACAAGGATAATTAGTCAAGAAATCAAGATGGAACCCGTATTTAAGACTTTTCTATACACATATCTACCCATTTTTTACCGTTTATTCTAAATAAGGACACCTAAAAGTGCAAATTCCTGTCATATTTTAACACCATTATGAGTCCTGTAGTACTAATTAAACTCTATATAAGCTTAGAAAGTTCCGCCAGACTCTGTTTTCTGCTGCAAATTAGTCGTCCACATATCTGAAAAATATATCTTAGGAACAGAATTTTCTTACTAAAGTAATCGTGCCTCAAATTGAACAGTAATTGGCTAAAATCAGGGATCCATAGGTTAACATGGCTAAAAGTTGTGTTTCCTCTGTTGTGATTTCGTATCACTTACTTATTGCTTTAAATACGATTAAAAATACTTTATTAATGCTCATTATACAATGGTATACAAATACTATGCAAGTTTAGCAATTTTCTTCTCTATTCAACATTCCTGCTGTATACTGGATAATGATAATAGTATAAGGTTATCCAATTATTCTTCTTATCTATATTTCGATATGGACACTTACTTTTAAATACTTTAATATATTCTTTATTAATATCACCTTAAATGGAAATATAAGATTGATGGATAAGTCTTGTTTTAAAAAGCTAACTATACTAAGCTTTCGTAGAATAGGTTGCAAGGATAAATAGATAAAATTAATATTATAAACATACAAAACTTTTGACTTTAAAATTATTTAAAACAAATTACATATCAATGAACATATACGGCTTTTTAAGTTCTATACTTGTAA